AGGCGGGAATCGAACTCATGTGGAAGCGGCTTTAGATTCTCAGTGCTATGCTTTAACCCGCTGCGCCACCAGGGAGGGCCCAGAGGAGAGATTTTTAACTTAGATTTTAAAGGAATTACTTTGACTACTCTGTCAAAGATGACCTGTGTGTCAGGCAAGGCTTGAAGCAAGAAGACCAATGAGAAGACTGAGGTCACAGCTTGGGTAAAATATGATGGTGGTGAGCCTAGGGTGGAGGGGAAGAGGCAATGATCAGATTCCAGGTACATTTTGCAGGTAAGAAAAACCAGATTCACTGTGGATTTGGAAGCAAGGAGTGAGTGAGAAAAAGAGAGGCTCTCAGGTTTTCAGTATATGAAATGAAAGGACAGATGAAGAAGGATAAAGAGTAAATATGAAAAGGAAATTAAGAGTCCAGTTTGGACAAGTTAAGACGCCTTCTTAAAGCCCTCACTGGTGGCACAACGGGTTAAAGTGCAGCACTATGTAGCTATCCGCAGCCGCTGAAACAGGAGTTCAATCCCTGGCCAGGGAGGTGACCCACACGGCACAGCAAACCTCTCCTGTCTTGTCCATGCTCATCTTAGCAGAGTATTTCGGTCAATCTGCCTGTTCTGCTCCCTCATTCTGTCTCTGGTGAATCCTCTCACCCCCTGGACATCTGGCCTGTACCACAGTTCTTGTAAACATAAATACACTTTAAAAAAAAAAAAGATGCCTTCTTAATATCCAATTGGAGATCACCTTTAGTTGCACATATATTATATATTTGACCCACTGACAGCGGGGGTCAGGGGACAAACATTCAGGTGCTTTCAGGTGGCAAAAGTATTGAGACACAATGAGAAGTAAGGACTGGGCTGATAATAATGCAGATGCCCCATCTGAAAGGGAAGTCACTCCTGAGCTTGATCCAGTGCTGCTATTTGGGATTTGTTCCCAGATGTTCTGATTTTTAATAGACAGAACAATTGGGATTTTCAACAACAAGATCTTAAGACATAAAAAAGTTCTATCATCTACCAAATATTAGAAGTTGAAATTCTAAGTTCAGGACACATTAGTGCTTTTAACTGATTAATTTTTACACTGCAAAAAAGAAAATTGTGCCTAGCATTTCTCTAACTTAGTTGACTTATAGAACTCTCTTTTTATGTAACAGCTCAAGAGATGAGCATTCCTTAGTGCACACTTTGGGGAATGATGATTTATACAGAAGTCCTCCATGTTTAATCAACCCCTCTATTTCCACTTTGAAGAGTTCTTACAATTTAGGAATTGTACGTACATCACACACACATACACACAGCCAATTTTATTAGGTGTTCTAACATCTAATATCAGACTGACCTGAACAAAATGTATATGAAGCAATTGCTAAAATCTCCCAACTTGTTAAATACTAAGTGAAGTCTTGACCCTCTTATTGATGAACAAAACAGAGAAATCACAGGGGCACTGAATTACTTCATTTCCCAACCCCTCTCCTCCTTTACCTGTTGGACTTCAGGATTTAGCAACAGGAAGGACATCCAATTATTACTATGTACTTAGCAGATGTCCTTTGTTTTACTTATCTCTGAGGAAGGAAGAAGGGAAAAGACAAATTTGTAGTGGGAAAATGTGCAATAAAAAGACAAGACTAATATTGTTGCAGGATTATAGATGGATTAAAATATTTCAGGTGCCAAGTTTGTCTCTGAAGAATTAGGGTGCAGAGACTGGTCAGAGTAAACAATACAGCTGAGGAGAGTAGGGCAGGGAATTTGATTTTGTGAGGCTTTAAGAGAAGTGCGAGGCAAGAGCACTTTCAGGAACCTGGAACTGAGGTGATGTGAATCTGGGTTGAAGAATGGACAACAGCAGTAGAAAGGTGCTGTATTATGTAGGAAGAAATAATCAATAAACTTGCTAACCCACTGAATGTGGGAAAGGCAATGCAGAAAGGAATGGCTTTAACCCTGAGTCCATGAGAGAATGATGATATCGACTGTAAACTGGTTTACATATTGTTTGAAGGTGACTGTATTACCTATAAGTAGAAATGCGCAATCAGTTGTTATTTGGGAATAAAACGTAGGATGGACAGGTAAATATTGTGCATTAAGATACTGCCACGGGCCCTTCCTGGCGGCACAATGGGTTAAAGCACAGCACTAAGAAGCTAAAGCCACTTCAGCATGAGTTCGATCCCAGCCCCAGAGGCAGCAAACCTCTCCTGACCCACCCGCAGCTCCCCTCAGCAGTGTACTTTGTTGATCTGACTGTTCTGTTCCCAGCTCTGTCTCTGATGAAGCCTCTCAATGCCCCTGCACCTCTGGCTTGTGCCCCAGTTCTGTATGTACAAATAAAATCTTTAAAAAAAAAAAATACTGCCACATGTTCAGCTGTAGGCTAGATCCTTCACCTCTGTGGTCAGTTTAGGAGAGGAATACTTAAGGCTTGCACTATGTTATTCAAGCCAGGAGAATGGTAACATTCAAAGAAGAGTAATATATCACACTTTCCTGTCTCTTCATTGAAAGTAGTCATTACAAAAAATAAATGCAAATAAATAAAAATACCGGACAGTATCATATCACAGGATCACTAAGCATTTCTGATTTCAAAAGCAGTTCTGCTTTAGGAATTGACGGAGAAAGGAAAGAAAAAACAGAATTGCAAATTGTTCTTTATTCTTTTCTCCCTTGAGGGAGATGAACGGACACAAAACAAGATTCAGGAAGAAGCCAGAGGAGAAAGTATTCGGGGGCATTTCTATAGCCAAGATAAATAGGCATGACTGTAAACTCTCACCTGAAAGAATAATAACATTGAACATAAATAAACATAATAAAGAATAATAACATTGGAACATTGCTAAGAGAGAAATTGTATAGAATTTATTATCAATTTAAGGACATGCTACTCTATTCCCACTATAAAACTTTCCATTCACATGCCAGCCAGGACCACATTCCACCTTCAAACTCCCTCTGGCAAACCAGGGTCTCGGTTTTCCCGTTGTTTTGCAAGCTAGCCCTGGAGCTCAGGTGCAACAGGCAGATTAACAACGCGTGACAGATGTTTCCACAGCCGTCATCAGTCTTTTCCATTTGCCACAATTCTCCAGGGTGAGCAGGGTCAATACCTTCCTTCCCTCAGCAGCCAGGAGGGCTAAGATGCTTAAAATGTCTCTCAATTTAAATGCCCAGGGCAAGGGGAAAATGCAGAAGTCATAACAAGAAAGGACAGAGAGGCAGGTGAAGGGTAGACTAAAAATGATGCAAATTTTGAAATCCTCTCTGCATGCAGTAGTGATGTAATGTAAATATGTTTGCATTCATGATGCTTTTATTTTTCTTTATCTCTACAAATGCATGCAATACATTACATGTAAATGTAACAAACTGTATGTTAATGTAAATGCACAAATATTTTGTCAATGGTGTAAATGCTTCCGATAAACAAAATTAAGGTGAGCTCTTCCCTAAGATATGTGCACGTAAGGGCACCCTGATTTTTATAGTTAGCTCTAGAATCACATTGCTCAAAATTGGGGAGTGTTGGCAGGATTTGTAGTTTGTGAGTTCCCTAAGGAACCTTCTCACCTTCTAGAAAAATGGATTCACATCTGGAACTAGCTGTCTTAAGATCCAACACCCTACTACTTATTGATCATCAAATAACAGATGCTTGTACATGGCAAAACTGGATAGAAGTTTGAGCATGTAAAATGGGGGGGGTGGGATGAATGAAGGCAACACTGTAAAAGTGATTGTAGAGTGTTTCTCAAAGGTAAGTTTTTATAAAAAGTAACTGCTTGTTGTGAATATCCAGTTACACAATAAAAATCCTATCACAAGCCAATATTTTAATAGCAAATAAGTAATATTCTGTACTGAGCAAAAACCATCACCTGTTTTGACATGAAGATCACAAATAGGATTATAATCACCACATCACCCTGCAGAGGAACTGCAACTATGGCAATTCCAGACAAAAATAGACAAATAATATACCAAATTGACTTAAGAACCATTAGGGAACAGTAAGTTACTTGACTAACTTTGAACATTCTCTGAGTTCTCACTGCCCTTAGTTCTCTGAAACTACAAAGATGGCTCCCTCCAGATTCCTTGAAACAAAAATCGGAGGTTTGTACTTGAAAGAAAAAAGGGGGAAAAAAAGGAGGAAGAAAGAAAGAAAATGAAGTCAATGCTTGGCAGACCAGTGACAGGCTTTCAGGAAGAAGACCTTTACAGGTTCTGATCCTTTCCCAGCTCCATGGAGGAAGAAAGAAAAAAGAGCAGAATCTGCCTGCCCCTGAAGCTGGCTCCACCTCCTAAACAGACAGGGAAAAAACACTTCAGGCTGTCCCTAGACAGCCTTCCTGTGGTCCAAAACTAAAAAGGACCCTAAGTCACAGAAAAGCAAGGCAGATCTACAGAAAACAGTTCTTCTATGGAGTTAAAAACTTCAGAACAAAATTTTACAGTTAGCCCACAATCCCATTATAGGTTAACAGTAATACATTTGCTTGAAAGGACAAAATGCACTTTATACTCTTACCTGGCGGCTGTCCCTCTGAGAGGACGTTGAAGAGGAGGCACTTCTATGGGTTGGAGTGGAGGTTTTATGGGCAGGGGATATGCCTTTCTCGTCTGAACTCATAGCTGCAGTGAGTCTAGTTTTATGCGCTTGAGATCATCCCAGTTGTGTCTCAAATTCATAGATGAAGTAGATGATTTTTCAACTTTGGTCCATTTCATGAATCAGGTCTGTCTGGAGAAGAACAGGCAGATATTGAGGGGGTCTCAAAGCAGAACAAAACATTTTAAGTAGGTAGGTAGAGCACAATTGAAACCTCATTTAGAAGTCTCACGATGTTAGTGATGGAAAGCATCCTGACACATTACCTCTTCCTCTAGGTTTTAAGATGGTGGATAAATGTTAATATGTAAGACCAAAGTCTGGCAACAAGGAGAACAGGAAGAAGCCAAATGCTTCAGTCATACTGTCCCCTTATGATCGTTT